TAAGGTCCAGTGCTACACATTTTGGTGCTTGTTTACATCTAGGGACATGTCTAAAACTATTTATGGCCAGAGATTTCTGATACTAGTTTCACATCAGAAAGCATTATGATGTCTAATATGCTGTACACAAACATTACATATTTATTTAATGTTTAGCAAAACTAACTAACTAATTAGTCATTTAACAATTGGCATTTAATTATTTTGTTTGAAAGTGACAAGGGAAATTAATCCTTCAGTATTCACAGGTATGTAGGGTTTGTTCCTCTATTTCTCAACACCCATTCTCAGATCAAGTTACAATTTTAAACAATTATTTTTTTTACCTAACAAAACATGAATCAGTTTAAAAAAAATAACCAATTAGTCAATTAATTATTGGTTATTATTTTGTTTGAAATCCAATAAAAAGAGAAATAACTTCTGCATTATTTAGAGATAAAGTTCCTCTTAGATAAGCTTTGTTTTTATTTCTTAAATATTTTGCTTGTTTTACTTTGAATTTCAAATTATTTTTTGTTATTATTTTATCATCAAAAAGTAAATAATAACGAACTAGAGGTTCTCCAAAAACAAATGTAATAGGCCTACTTGCAATTTAAACTAAAGAAATATTCAAATAAAAAAAAAACTACAACTAATATCATAATCTTGTTTTGATCAGGTGTAGCCTATATCTTAACCAATGAGGCTGGAATATCCGATATTTCTGTTATACAGGTAAATTGATAATTTGCTTGAAATTTAAATAGATTTGTCTAGTTTTCCCTACTCAAATACACTACACTGGCTTCCTATTAGTGCTAGATAACAATATAATAGTAAGGTAAAAAAAAAAAAAAAAAAAAGTAAAGTAAAGTTTCCCTTTCAGACCTTGCAATCTATATGGCAGATGATGTTAGGGTCATCTGTATCTTTGGCCAATGGTGTCATGTGGCCAGCACAATGACCAACCACCTTTACTTTCCCCAACTAAAGTACCCATTAGAGTTAAGTGGACTCTGGGGCGCCCCAAAATCCTGAAATTTAAAATTGCAGTCTTCAATGAAATTTGAACCCAGGATCCCAGGTTTGAAAGCTAATGAAACACTCCTGCTAAGTAAAAATCAATGGGGCATATTTCTTAAGTGTAAATATATATGTAAAATGTAAATTATACATGGCCTGCCCATTTTCCTCTTTCCTTGCCTGCCTTCCAATGTTGGTACTTGGTTCATTATTTTTATTTTCATTCATTGGAGTAATCTGGTAAAATATTTTATTAAGATGTAAACTTGACTAGTGTAGATCTAGTTTACTAGTCTAAATCTAGATTTAGATCAAGTTTTAGACAGCATTTATATATATATATTTTTGTGATATAGTCCAAACTAGAACCACAGTTAATCGTTAAATGCAGAGAAAGAATCAAGTTTGTTATCTAAAAAAAAAAATTCATATTTTAAGTTAGCTAGGAAATTTAGTCTTATGAACTTTATAAATACGGATCTATTAATAGACCTAAGAAATTTCAATATTGTTTAATTTTAAATATGATTTTGTAACTGTTAATTTTCATAAAACAATAAATATATTTATTTTACATATTATTAAACCTACATTTATTTATGCCACTATTTCCTAGTAAAATCAGATACATAAGATAGCATAAGTTCAGAGCCTAAATAAATACACAGTTCTGGGGTAAAGTACATATAGATAAAGTATTAATGTGTTATTTTCATCTGCTATTTTTCAGGTCTTCTTTAATTATAATCTGTATAGGCTTTGGTTCAAACTCTTCATATTTTTTTAGAGAATTTTGTTCTCTATCAGTTACATTGAGATGTTGCTATGGTACAATCCTACATTCTACTCACTTTCCAACAAGTTCAGGCAAATGGTTCACCACTTTCAAGAAGAAAATGTACTTGAAAATAAATCTGAATTATTCTTTAAATCAGGTTTATTATATATTATTTTTCTAAATGCATTGTGCTTGCAGATAGTTTGTCAACAAGGCTATAGAAAATGAAAGTATTTGACATTAGTATTTGTTTTACTTATTGAACTATACACAAGAATATAAGAAAAATGAAAAAAAAAAAAGTTTGAATCATTTTACACCTCATTTTGTTTCTCTTGGAAGATTAGTAAGAACATTTTATTATCAGGAAACTGAATTCTAAGTTCTGTTATGCTCTTGTCTAGGCTGCTTTATTACATGACACTATAGAAGACACAGGGACAAGCTTTTATGAACTTCAAGCTGAATTTGGTGAAGATGTTGCAAGTAAGAGAATTATGTAAATGATATCTCTTTTTACAAAACTTATATCAACTCACTCAATTGTCTGGTAAAAAGTTTGTACACGTTATTTCTCCCACACCCATTCTGGGATCAAGTTAAAACAACACAATTAATTAATTAAATACTTGTAATTAATTATGTAATCAATTATTTTGTTTTTATACCAACAAGGGAAATAAATTCTTCAGTATTGACAGATTCAGACTTCAATGTAGTCTATAAGTCAACAAGTCTAATTAACAAATAATCAGTAGGGAACAGGACAGCTACTTAATATCACTATTTTAGCTGTAGCACTGAGTTAGGTTTTTAAAGATTTTATTTTAAAGTTTTTAATTTAATACAAGCAGTTAATTATAAAAACATAACTAAAAAAAGCTAACCATGGTTGTTTTAAAGTGTATTAACATGATCTTGTTAGTATAAAGAAAGATATCTTTGTTTGGTTTATGTTTAGATCTAGTTAAAGAAGTCACTGATGATAAGACATTACCAAAAGAAGAAAGAAAACTTCAGCAAATAGTTAATGCTTCCAAGTCAAGTTACAGAGCCAAGCTTGTGAAACTTGCTGATAAACTTTATAACTTGAGAGACTTGCGTCGAGCCACACCTGTTGGTTGGAGCAAAGAGAGAGTGGACGAGTATTTCCGGTGGGCTTCTCAGGTAGTGGCAGGACTTAAAGGTACTAACAAGGCTCTAGAGGACAGTTTGAGGGACCTGTTTGCTGAAAGAGGAATTACTATAACATAGTGTTTTTGTCAACATGATGTTTATAATGCATATTTCACTTCATGTTTTGATTGTTGTTTAATGGTTCACATCAATTAATTTGTGTCTTACTGGTGACCTCATGCCACAACCTTTCATTCCTTCAGTACTAGAATGGTTCACTATTGCATGTATGCATTGGTAAAGTGTATGATCATTTCACTCCTTTTGTGATGTTCCATTTTGAAGTCTTTGGTGTATCCAGTGCACAGAAGAGGAACATGTTGATAAGCTATGTACCAATATATAAAAAAAGTTCTTGCACATTTTAGTACTGCAATATCAAATGTATAGGCTCTTAATGCTTGTAGAACACTGTAGTTTAGATTTTGTTGACAACAGGCATTTTTCAAATGTCCTTGAGGTTTATTTTGTCCATTTCAGTCTCCCAATCTTCTTAATCAATTTCTTATATTTTTCTTTAGGTTCCATTACATTACCCCCCCCCCCTCCTTTTTTCCAAATTACTAAATTGCTTTCTTTTTGTTTCCTCTTTCTATATTTTATTGCATTAGAAATGTAAACGAGATTCATATATTTCAAAATGCAGGCCTATTGCTGAATAAAAAGTCAAAGTAGTTGGACTTAACTGGTGATCATTTGACTCACATAATAGTAAAAATGTTTCAATAAAGCAAAAAATCTATGTTGTTATTTATGTGTCATTACATTTACAGCCTTGCTGTTGTGATTTGTAATAGATGGGCTCTTTTTTTGTTTTATCATTGACCCAGTTTTAAATATTCCTTTTAAACTTTTGTGAGGTAGCTTTATTATTTGTCACAACATTATGACCTGCTCATTATGATATAACCTGAGTTACCTTTTTTTTTTCTTTACATTTAGAAAGAAATATAATTGCATAAATTCAAGCTAAATGAACAGTACATTGGATGTCTTCATTTGTACATAATTATCTGAAGGTTAAAAACAAGGATTAATGTAAATGACATTCTACACTCTGTTTTCCATTTATTCAAATAAGTGATGAGCATCAATATCTTAAACATTCTTTGATTTTGTTGGCTTACTTTTGTAAGATTTTAACACTCAAGTTCGCCTACTGAATCTTACTTATGAACCACTTTCTGTCTTGTGTGTTTTAGAACTGATCAGATGTTAAACATACAATTTAAAGTGCTAATACTTCTTGATCATTGTCCAACAAAACCAGTATGGTGTAATTCAATAGCCCAAAAGTGAGTGACTAAGTAGGTTGATATGCAAGCCAACCTCTAAGGTTAAAATGTTTACCCCTTACCTTTAATACAATTATTTCAAAACTATTTCATTTATACAGCTTGAATAGCTCACAGTTGCTTAGGAATTGTTGCTCTTTGTAAAGCTCTTAACATTATGCAACAAATATACAGGACTGGGGAATAAAGGTTATTAAAATGTGGTCTTAGCTGCCAATGCGTTTTTTGTATTTGAATTTATGCCATTACTAAATATTGTGATTGCAGGGAACAAATTACTATCTACAAGTATCATGTTGTGATTATCTTGTTTGATGTTGTCATTTGAAATAATTTATTGAAGTGTTGTAATTGAATGTTATGTTTGTTCTCCAAATAATTTGATTTGTGATTTGGTTCTTGATGTATTCTAACTTAAGTCAATGAGCCTAAATGTTGATGATTCACAGTATTACTGGTACAGCACTGGTAATTAGATATCTTCATTCAGCATTCAATTTACAGTAAACATATTTTTGATGTGACTATTATAACTAGGATTGTGAATACTTAAATACTCCTTTTTAAAATCCTCTAATGTATGTGTGGCACAAAACAAACCCAACTCATCTCATACTGTTTAAAGTGAAACATAGCAAGTGCAATTTTTGGAGGAAATAGCTGAAAGTTACGATATGAATTTATATTAAAATGTTGAAAATAAAATTTAGTTAATAAAAAAAAAACACTATTTTACTACTTAGTGAGTTCAGAATTTTATAATTTATTCTTTTTTTTGTTAAACAATCTCTAGCAGTAGAAATAAATCTTCTGTAAATTTAAAAAAAAAAAAAAAGAATGATTTTAGAACTAGATATTGGTGGTGAGAAAGGAATTATAAAAAGCATGAATGCTAATACTTGTTCACTGAATCAGTAAAAATCTCATTTCTTTATTTATATCCTACAGAATGTCAGACAAAATGAATTGTAGAAAACATAAAAGAAAATATGGATTATACAATTTAGTTGTATCCTTCAATCATAGAATACACAATTATATAAGGAAGACATTTCTTAAAGAAACAAAACAATGCAGAAGGAAAATACAAAATGTGAATCAAATGCTGCCAGAAGAAACAGCTACACAATTCAATGGATCCACCAGTCTTTCTACAAGTCACTTTAGTCTCAATGGATGCAGTAGTGTTTCTACAAGTCACTTTTTAGTCTCAATGGATGCAGTAGTCTTTCTACAAGTCACATTTTAGTCCCACAATTCAATGGATGTAGTAGTCTTTCTACAAGTCACTTTTTAGTCCCACAATTCAATGGATCCAGCAGTCTTTCTACAAGTCACTTTTTAGTCCCACAATTCAATGGATCCAGCAGTTGTTCTTTTTTAAACTCTTTCACTTTCTTAACTAACAAACCAGTTTAAAAAAAAAAAAAGGTCAATGTTCATTCCAATTCATTCACTCCAAATAATTTATAACATTATGTACAAACTAAATAAAACCCTACACATTACTAACCTCATCACAGATACACAACTTCAGATCAGTAATAAAAAAATAATTCTGTAACATTTTTGTCTGTAGATAAATAAAATACATACAAAACCACTGACCTATATTTACTTTAAAAAATTTGAAAACTGAACCAAAACTTTGCTCAGCACAAGTGAGACCATTCATTATAGAAGGCCTGAATACTGAACTGCAATGTCACAACCTGTGGGCAGTTAAGACCAATAGCTCAATGTCACATCACAGGTCTATACAATGTAGCAACACGGTCAGTGTTGATGTCTTCAATAACGAATGGTCTCTGCACAAGTCCCAGCAGTGTGAGGCAGCCACATTGGTCACTAAGTACATGTTGTTGAAGGAGGACTTAGTTTTGTCAAGCTGACACTACTAATTTAAAAATAATGAACTCTTATTGAACTCTTTTAAGTCATTTAAAAGTAATGAACTCTTACAGGTCATTTAAAAGTAATGAACTCATATATTTGCAGCAGTTTCTCAGGGTCTTAAAAAATTACATTAATTTTTTCTCTGACATCATTTATATTTTGTTTTTTATTTATTTCCTTTTACAATTTAAAAGAAAAGAGCGACACTTGAACTAATTTATTAAAAAAACACCAACTTGCTATTGTACAATTTCTCATTTACTTCTGTCTACATTTCAAATATGGTACCCCATACTAAATTGTATTTAAAACAAACATGACGAATCCTAATTTCAACTCCAAATTGATATATGTTCAATTTAGAAAAATTGTCACTAGTAAATAAGTTGTAACTCTACTTCAGTTTAGTTACTAAAACATTACTGCAAAAAACTTGCAGAAATCTTGACTGGCCCTCATAACTGAAGCTAAAACTTGTAAAATGAAAACTATTGAGAGTGTTGAAACACTTGAGATTCAAACAAAATGACATAAAAAGATGCCATATATTGACATAAAGACTCATAATTCAATGAATAACCAGCACAAATATACAAATAATTACAGTCATTTTGATATTTAGTTTCAATATTTTTGATGACTTTTTGATAATCATAAAAACAACATTCTTTTACTGACAGTTCCTTGGTTATGGATGTCAAAAAAAGCACAAGTAATCTCCCTTGAAGTGAGGCTACTACACATCTGATGGAAATAACTTTTGAATGTTGCACAAATGAACAAGTAACATCAGCATCCATGTCAAAGTGTCTGCTTCTCACAGCATAGAAGTAATGGCACAGAAAACACTTCATGACCTGGCACTGAAGTTCCCAGAACTATTCCCTGAACTACTGCCACTACTAGTGTCAACAATTTTGGGACAGAGTTTTTCTGTTTTCTCCGCTCTGTCACCTGTTATTAGTTTCAGCATATTAAACAAATTTTTCTTGACACGAAGAATTGTAAGACGAGATCTCGGATTTTGTGCCCAGCACTCACAAATGATTTTTGTCATTTCACACATAAGCTGTGGATACAAATAATATCAATTATGAACTACTACATACTATATAAATACAAATGTTTTTTTTCAGGACACTAACAAAAACTTAATACAAATCCTAAAAATACCAAACAAGCAAAAGATATTTGTGTGAAATTTAAATGACTACAAATTTAAAACTGGTATATACACAGTATGAAATGCTGACATTACAAAATTAAAACAAATAAATGTTTTGATTCTATTCTAAAACTGGTCTGACAAGCATTCTAAACATTTTGGTTCTATTTTAAAATTAGTCTAACAAGCATTCTAAACAAATAAATGTTTTGATTCTATTTTAAAATTAGTCTAACAAGCATTCTAAATAAATAAATGTTTTGATTCTATTTTAATATTGGTCAAACAAGCATTCTAAACAAATAAATGTTTGATTCTTTATCTTTTTTTAAAACTGGTCAACAAGCATTCTTAGTTGTTTTTTTAAATAATAGTTTTATATCAAACATCTTATTTTTTATGCTCAATGCACTCTGGGGAGGGGATGGGGGAAATCAGAAGTCAGACTCCCTTAGTAAGGGTAAAAAAAAAATGAATTAAATTAACTGCTAACTACAATTGATAGGCTAGACTATAAATTTGGCTAAGGTATATTTTATAAGAGTGATATTTCACTGAGTATAGTTTTAAAAGTCTGGTACTTACAGGTTCTTTAGACCATTTGTTGGGAATGGGGGGCCGCTGTTGTTCTTCTGCTACTACACGTATCATATCCTCAAAGCCAGGATCAGCTGGTACCACATCCCAGTAGGGGACTCTGTACTCTTCAGCAAATGCTGATAGAGGAAAATATTGAAAGGAATGTATTTCACTTTGCACATATTAAAACCTGTTCCTTTGTGCTAGAATCAGAATAAATAAAAACACAAAATTCTTTTTCAATGAACTTCATTGTTTTTCTCCATGTTTTTTAATTTGTTGTTATAATGAGCGATCAGGAGAGCAAATCTTTTGCACCGTTTCTAAATAGAATGTTTAGAATAAGGGTTTCATAGAAATGACATGAAACTAATTTTATGCAACGCAAAGAATTATGACTAAGTTATCAGTTCCTTTTTTTTTTTCTTTATCTTAAAATATTTCTTACTTGACTATTCAATGAAGAAAAATTTTTTCATTTAAAGTGCTAAAAAATTCCCTAAAAAAATAATACCACTAATTCTATCAAAAGACCATTTTCAAATGTATAGATTATATTCAAAGTTTCAAACATTGATAATTATTTACTAAAAGAAATATTACAACAAATTGTTTTCATTATATGTTAAAAAAACAAATACTGTTTATGATGGCACAGGACTCACTGTCTATTAAATAGCAGAAAAAAAACAACAACAACTAATTAGCATTATTAACTCTTTATCTCTGGCATTACTTTCCACATTCTGAGGGAAGTATTCACTTTGCCAATATATTTGTACATGTATCTATACACACATGTAGTACACTAATATATTATGGTTTTACTGTTATCAGAAAATATAACATCTGTTATAGAATATATTAGAATATTATATAATTTAATTTTATAGATCAAAAGATTAGTTAAATTATGGATTATAAAATAAAAATCAAAACTCTATTTACATAGCTATCCAGAACAAATACAAAATCTTTATATTTATCCATTGCTACAAAAACAGAATAGACTTTGACAAACAAAAATAAATAGAAAACTGGAGCTAATTATCCCATGAAAAAAAAAAAGTACCAGTCAACAAAAAACAAGAAATTTAAGTAAGTGCTTTAAACATTTTGTTAGCTTTAAAAACAGATTGAAAGAAGAAGTGATTCAGTTCAAAGCACTATGAACATTTAGGGAGGAAAGACAAACGACTATGGGAGCATTCCAATAAATTGTTGTTTCAGAGACAAAGTGTTGAGTAACTACTCACGTCTTGCTCTTCTTGCTATTTCCCATAGAACTAAACCAAAGGAATAAACATCTGCACTTTTAAAAGATTCAAAGTAGGCTGGATTTAAAGTTTCAGTCAGTACTTCTGGGGCCATATATCTCTTGGTGCCAACACGCTGAAACAGTAATGCAGGTATAAAGCTTAATGGACATTTGAAAAAGAAAAGAATTTTGTTCTAAACAATGCTAATTAACTTTGTTACCAGAAGGACTAAGCCATAAGATCAGGTCAACTTTGCATAAGTCATGATGTTTTTTGTTTCACTTTTTTAAATACTAGTGTACCTTTCTAAATACAGTTTTTTCTTAGCATAATATAACTCAACAGTAATTTAACTAACTAGTGATGGGAACAGACTTTGCACAAATTTTAGGAAATTTTTTCCCTGCGTGTGTGAACCACCATGTTGTGGTGACATAAATATGAATTTGAGGAATTCTTTTTACAAAAGTAGAAATTAATTATATTTAATATTTTCTTTAACTATTGTCATAAATTAATGATATTCCATGAGCTTTACTACAAAATGCATGCAAGGCACAATTGTATGTACAGCTTATTTTCATCTCTTGGCCTTGGCATTTAGACTAGAGCTTTTTATACCTAGTCCAAGCAGTCTGAACATTCAATAATAACCAGCCATATGGAGAAATGATTTAAAGGGAGAGAATGTACAACAGAATTGCATATTAAGTAGATTACTTTAACTTCATGGTTTCCTTGAGGGACTCACTTTCTTGCTAGCAAACATGGCAGTTGATACAAGAAGTGAATCTCTAGGCCTAGTCTTTAGTACTCACTACTAGATCTACATCTAGATTGAAGTCAATTATCAAGTGATCATTAATGTAGTCTAGGTGCTAATCTGTAAATTTTGTTTTGCTTTCAGGAGATTTGTGATCCTAACCTTAACCCCTAAAAAATTTTTTATCATTCATTGTCAATAACATCTAGATCTGAACTATCTATCTCTATCTACTCACAATCTCACAGCAGAAGATCATCTTGTCTTGATATAGCTCTAATCTAGAATCTAGATTTAGAATAAGATCTAGATTTTAGACCTTGATCTATATCCAATCTATTCAATAGCTGTAGACCTATTCCTAAGATAGATCTAGTTCAAGATGTGCAAAGGCAAAGCGCACAACCAAGGCATAGACCATAGCTGCCTGATCTGTCAGGCACACCACACCAGGCATGACCAGGCATCCATTTTAAGGTCTAGATCTAGATTATATTATTCTTCTAAAAATGAAAAAAAGAATAAAATCAAAATTTTTGATGTTATTTTG